CATACCTGTTGAACCCTATTTCAATCCTAAATCTCGTTGATGTGGAGGACTGCAATATTATTGAACTGTTAATGTCTCTGAAGACCATGCCCACTATGCCATTAAAGGCCTCATCAAAACCAAACATCCACAACTACAGCAAAAATGTCTGCTCAATAGTATCAAGTACCTTTTAGAAATCTAAAAACAGAATAGAGTCTTCTTCAATTAAATGTTCATAGTCCACAAGATCCTTAATAAGCCTGACATTATTGCTGATGTGATGATGTCATGAAGCCTGACTGTGATTCATTTATAATTTGATCCAATACCTGCTTTAGTCTTATAGCAAAAACCAAGGTCTATAGTCCACATTTAACAAAAGTAATTGGGCACCACATTTCTATAAATAAATGGTCTTTACCAGATTTGGGAATTACATAAAAATGCACATTGTTTCACTGTTGCAGTAAGTTCCTTGTAGTTGACACAACTATATTAAGCATTAAAATAAAGGACTTTTAATAATCTCCAAAAAGTGTAAATTAAATTTCACTCATTATTCATCAGTGCCATATGATTTGGACTTATTTGTTGAAAAACAGCCTCAGTGACCTTATCCAAGATTAAGTTTGCATCACAATTAATTTTAGCATCATCAGTAATTACGTGTAAGGCTTCCGAATTTCCATTCAAATATTTACCACAGTCTACTTCACTACATTTATTAGTACTGTATACAAGTTTTTAAAAAATGCGACACAAAATGAGACGTTTTTCAGGGTCCGTACAAGGTGCACCATCAATTGTAAGAGCCAGCAAAGGCCGTTTTTTGTAGTTTCTATTCTCCAAAGCAAAATAGTACGCCGTGTTCTTTTCACCATCTCAAGCCATTTGGCACGACATCTTAAGAACGTACTTTACGGGGTTATCAACTTTAGTTCGAGACAAGTCTGCACACAAATGCAAACGCATTTATTATGTATGTAAAAGTTCTATTACCTTGTAAATAGTCTGTAGGGTTAGCAAACTACCACAATGCTTTTGACATATATAATATTAGGTTTATAATGGAATAATACAGATTCGCCGTAACATTTATTAGGTGAGCGTTAGAGTCTAAAGTGTCACGCAGTGTTGCCAACTTAGCGACTTTGTCGCTATATTTAGCGAGTTTTTAGACCTCTCTGGCGACTCGTTTTCAAAAAAGCGACTAGCGACAAATCTAGCGACTTTTTCTAGTGTTATTAGAGACTTTTGGAGACTCTGACGTGGAAGCACGTATCGTTCTTACTCTCCACACCGAGCAGCGGGTACTACCGTGGGCTCGCCTCCCGTCCCAAAGCATTCACAGGCGGACAGTCCTCACGCAGCAGCCCCACCCAGCTGCAGTCAGAGCAAGAAATGTTCACCTTTCTGCGTCCAGACTGCAAATGAATTGCGCATGCGCGAAGCCACCACTGGCTGTTCCTGCCAAAAAATTATGACAGTTTCTATGACATTCCGCCAGAGTGTCTCTTTGGGGTCACTTTTGCCGGTCCCAAGCCCGGATATAGGAAGAGGCAGTGCTTGAAGTGGGAAAAAATAAGTGCAGGAACTCTAATTTTCCGACATTTGACATTTGTGCGGTGAAAAAAAAATCAAGTCTTTAGGATGTGTTGGTTCAAAAACTATTTTAATTTAATCATTCTTCCAAGCAATAACCTATAGGCATAGGCTACTTTTTTCTAATTCACAAATGGAGTATTAAAAAAGCATTAAAACAACATGAACCAGACCAGTGGCCTGTACTACGAAGCGGGGTTACTGGCTTATCGGGGTAACTTTGCGAGTAA